GCCACCGACTCGCCATCGCGTCCCCGGGCTACGTGGATCGGCCGCGCCCGGGGGAGCTCATGTGGGAGAGGCCTTTCATGTGCGGCGCCTCCCCGGGCCGCGCCGGGCCTTCCTCTTGATTGGCGCCTGGGCCCGGCCGGGGTGCAGAAGGGCCAGACAGTCCGACCGCACGTTTAATTGTGGGGTCACAGGCCCTGGACAAGGCTATGCCATGTCATGCTTAAGAGGGGCACCATAACACGTGCTTATATCTGGACATGGCCAGACGAGTGCAGAACGGGCCCGCACCCTGGGGGCGAGGGGCAGGAGGGGTGCCCCCAGTTGCGGGATCACCACGACCGGCCCGGTGTCGGCAGGAGTCTCGGGCATGCCGCGCGCCATGTGGCGGAAGCGGACGAGCAGTGGGCTTCGAGTGCCGGGGCGTTCTGGCGGGCGCCCGCCGGCCCCTGTGTCCAGCGCAGCCAACGCGGCAATGGAGGCCCCCGGGCCAGGGCGACCCGCCCGGGCATAAGTACAATCAGGTCAGCCAGTTTCCCCACAATCTGCGCGGATCATGCGCCCCGAACCGGGGGCCATCATCGTAGAATGGTATTGCGTCCAGGCGTGACCCGATAGAGCTCGACCCGATTGAGTACCCGGGTGCTGGGGGGGGTGTAGTCTAGCTCAGCCCCGCGGGGCAGAAGATCCCCCGCGAGTGCCCGGGAGCAGGGGGCGCGGAGGTGGAGCGCGGGCCCGAGCGCGTCAACGGAGGGGCCCCTGCGGGCATGCGTGCGTCCGCCGGCCGCCGGCGCCGTCCTCGGTCGCACATGCACCGATGCCCCACCCGGCCACATGTGCAAGGCCACAGAGGTGAGTACGAGAAAGGGGAGGAGGACGGGAAAAGGCGCGCCCACAAACAGGCTGATCCCGGCTCGTTGGGGGGAGTGTGCCCCCACACACGCAGGCAACACAAGGCGCAGGCGACCTACTGCCCTGGCCCCGGCAGCAAGACACCACCGGGCCAAGAAGACTGGGGCGACGCTGGGGCGAGGTTGGGGGGGGAGCGGGGAGGGGGACGTTTTGCGGCCTCAATCCGCCGGCGCACCGCGATTCGCGCCGTGTGCCGGCCAAGGGTGCGGAGGGCTATCGCAGGCCTACCCGAGAGCCGGCGGCGATCTGGGGCTATCTCGGGTGGCACACCGAGGGTGGTCGGGCCGGAGCCCCGCGGCCAGGCGCGAAGAAACCGAGGCGGAGATGCGGGGGAGGGGTGCGCTGGGGGCGGGCACCCCGCACACGCTCGGCCGGTGTCGGTGCGGAGGCGGGGGGGGGGGGGGGGG